GGGCATGGTGGCGTGTGCCTGAAATCCCAGCTACTCAGGAGGCTGAGACAGGAGAATTGCCTGAACCCAGGAGGCGGAAGTTGCAGTGAGCCGAGATCGCACCATTGTACTCCAGCCTGGGTAACAAGAGCGAAACTCTGTCTCAAAAAAAAAAAAAGAAAAGAAAAAAGTTCTGAAGCTGGATTTTTATGATGGTTGCAAAACAAGAATGTACTTAATACCAATGAATGATATATTTAAAAATGGTTAAAAAGGTCAGGTGTGGTGGTTCAGGCCTGTAATCCCAGCACTTTGGGAGGCCAAGGTGGGTGGATCACGAGGTCAGGACTCCAAGACCAGCCTGGTCAAGATGGTGAAACCCTGTCTCTAAAAATACAAAAGTAGTAGCCTGTAATCTCAGCTACTCGAAAGGCTGAGGCTGAGAAATGCTTGAACCTGAGAGGCAAAGGTTGCAGTGAGCCGAGATTGCACTACTATAATGTGGGCAATAGAGTGAGACTCCATCTCAAAAGAAAAAATGGTTAAAAAAGATATAAATGAGCGAAAACACAATGAGATACCACTTCACACCCATTAGGATGGCTATTATCAAAACAAACAAATAAAAAACCACATATACACACAAAAATTTACCAAAAAAGGAAAAACAGAAAATAACTGTTGGGGAGGATGTGGGAAAATTGGAACCCCTGTGTATTACTGGTGGGAATGTAAAATGATGCAGCCACTAAGAAAAACAGTATGGTGGTTCCTCAAAGAGCTAAACATTTAATTACCAACTATCAGCTAGGTGCAGTGGCTCATGTCTATAATCCCAGTACCTTGAGAGGCCAAGGAGGGAAGATGGTTTGAGGCCAGGAGATCGAGACCAACACAGGCAGCATAGGGAGACCCTGTCTCTATAAAAAAAAAAAAAAAAAATTAAAAAATTATGGGCCAGATGTGGTGGCTCATGCCTGTAATCTCAGCCCTCTGGGAGGCCAAGGCAAGAGAATCACTTTAACCCAGGAGTTCGAGACCAGCCTAGACAACAAGGAAGGAGTTCATCACAATAAAAAATAAAAATTAAGCCGGGTGCGGTGGCTCACGCCTATAATCCCAGCACTTTGGGAGGCTGAGGCGGGTGGGTCACAAGGTCAAGAGATCGAGACCATCCTGGTCAACATGGTGAAACCCCGTCTCTACTAAAAATACAAAAATTAGCTGGGCATGGTGACGTGCACCTGTAGTCCCAGCTATTCAGGAGGCTGAGGCAGAAGAATTGCTTGAACCCAGGAGGCGGAGGTTGCGGTGAGCCGAGAACGCGCCATTGCACTCCAGCCTGGGTAACAAGAGCGAAACTCCGTCTCAAAAAAATAAAAAATAAACAAACAAAAAAAAAAATTAGCTGGTCGTGGCAGCCCATACCTATAGCCCCAGCTACTAAGGAGGCTGAGACAGGACGACTGCTTGAGCCTACAGGTTTGAGGCTGCAGTGAGCCATGACTGTGCCACTCAACTCCAGCCTGGGCAACAGAGCAAGACTCTGTCTCTAAAAGAAAATTAATAATAATAATTACCATATAGCAATTTCACTTCTGGGTATATACCCAAAAGAATTCAAAGCAAGAACTCAAAGAGATATTTGTACACCAGTGTTCACAGAAACATTATTTACAATAGTCAAAAGGTAGAAACAAGCCAAGTGTCTACTACAAATTAATTAATAAAACAAAATATGGTGTACACACACAATGGATTAAGCCATAAAAAGCAAGGAAGTTCTGATACATGCTACAACAAGGATTAACCTTGAAACCATTAAACTAAGTGAAATAAACCAGACACAAAAAGGACAAATGTTGGATGATTCCATTTAGTATTTGCAGTAACTACAACAGGCACATTCGTACAGACACAAAGTAGATCAGAGATTACCAGGGGCTAGGAAGAGGAGGAAATGGGAGTAATTTAATGGTTACAGGTTTTTGTTTTTGTTTGAGACTGAGTCTCCCTCTGACACCAGGCTGGAGTGCAGTGGCTCGATCTCGGCTCACTGCAACCTCTGCTTTCCAGGTTCAAGAAATTCTCCTGCCTCAGACTCCCAAGTAGCTGGGACTACAGGCGAACACCACCACGCCAGGCTAATTTTTTGTATTTTTAGTAGAGATGGGATTTCACCGTGTTAGATCTCCTGACCTTGTGATCCACCCGCCTCAGACTCCCAAAGTGCTGAGATTACAGGCATGAGCCACCACCCCTGTCTGGTTACAGAGTTTCTGTTTGAGATAACAAAGTTTCAGAAATAGTGGTGTTGCTTTTATTACATTGTGAATGTAATTAATACCACTAAATTGTATACTTAAAAATGGTTTAAAGGACAAATTTTGTTAAAATATACATCAACACACATAAAAATATATATTTACTACAATTTGTTTTATTTATTTATTTATTTATTTTAGAAAAGAGTCTTGTTCTGTCGCCCACACTGGAGTACAGTGGCATGATTTCCCCTCACTTCAATCTCTACCTCCTCAGCTCAAGTGATTTTCCCATCTCAACCTCCCGAGTAGCTAGGACTAACAGGAGCATGCCACCATGCCTGGCTAGTTGTTTGTTTGTCTGTTTGTTGTATTTTTTGTAGAGATAGGGTTTCGCCATGCTGTCCAAGCTCTCAATTTGTTTTAAAAATACTCCGCCACCGACCCAGCGCCGCAGAGACCGGAATTTCCTCCGCACCGCGACGCACCCTTCAGCATTCAGTCCGCCGGGAGATGAAGCTCACAATTTGTTTTAAAAATACTGTAATAGGGCCGGGCGTGGTGGCTTACACCTGTAATCCCAGGACTTTGGGAGGCCGAGGCAGGTGGATCACCTGAGGTCAGTAGTTCAAGATCAGCCTGCCAACATGGCCGGATGCGATGGCTCACGCCTGTAATCCCAGCACTTTAGGTGGTAGAGGAGGGTGGATCTCGAGGTCAGGAAATGAAGACCATCCTGGCTAACACAGTGAAACCCCATTTCTACCAAAAATACAAAATTAGCCTGGTGTGGTGGTACACACCTGTAGTCCCAGCTACTTAGGAGACTGAGTCAGGAGAATCACTTTAACCCCGGAGACCGAGGTTGCAGTGAGCTGAAATCATGCTACTGCACTCCAGCCTGGGCGATGGAGCAAGACTCTTATCTCAAAAAGGAAAAAAAAAAGAGACGGGCATGGTGGCGTGCGCCTATAATCCCAGCTGCTCCAGAGGCTGAGGCAGGAGAATCCCTTTAACTTGGGAGTCGGAGGTTACAGTGAGCCGATAGCACCACTGCACTCCAGCCTGGGCAAAAGAGAGACTCAATCTCAAACAAACAAACAAAAAAAATAGCATAATACACCAAAAACCTCTGATACAGCTTAAATGGGTGAATTGTATGGTGTATAAATTGTAACCCAATAAAGCTGTTAGTTTTTGTTGGATTTGGTGTTTGTTTTTGAGATGGAGTTTCACTCTTGTTGTCCAGGCTAGAGTCCAATGGCCTGATCTCAGCTCACGGCAACCTCTGCCGCCCGGGTTCATGCAGTTCTCCTGCCTCAGCCTCCGGAGTAGCTGAGATTACAGTCATGTGCCATCAAGCCCGGCTAATCTTGTATTTTTAGTAGAGATGGGGTTTCTCCATGTTGGTCAGGCTGGTCTTGAATTCCCGACCTCAGGTGATCTGCCCGCCTCAGCCTCCCAAAGTGCTGGGATTACAAGTGTGAGCCACCGCACCTGGCCCTGGCTATTTTATTGTTTGTAGAGTAGGGGTCTCACCATGTGCCCACGCCGGTCTCTAACTCCTGGAATCAAGCAATCCTCCCACCTTGGCCTCCCAAAGTACTGGGATTACAGGCGTGAGCAACCAGGCTTGGCCTGGTAATAGAAATCTATAAGAGGTGCTACAACTGTCCAGAGAGATCTGGAACCCATCCTGTAGGTTAAGTATCTAGTTAGGTGCTAGTTTGAGACAAGATTTAAATTAAAGTTTTGTGTTGCACCAAAATGGTACCATATTATTTTGTTACTTTCCACCCTGCCAGTCCTACCGTCACGCACCACTTGACGCCTGTCCTTACAGACCTCACAAATTTAGTAAGGGTGACATATTTAAATCATTCACACTGGTGGCATTTCTCAACAAGGAGGAGGAAACTAGCAAGCCGAGGGCAGAATCCAGGTTTCAGTAAATGAACCAGGTGACCAACTGCATCCCCTCTCCTGAACGCCATCTCTTAGATCCAGCTACTCAGACCTTCACAAGCAAACCAGGAATATGCAAAATATACAATTATCCTCATGGTTTATGTACCCTACAAAACAGGGCCCTTCCTTTAAAAAAAAAAAAAAATGCATTTCCAAAGTTGAACCCATTGCCCTAACGTCAATTCTAAAGAAAAGAGAAAAACACATATTTACACCGCCAAAGGAATCTAAAGCGTGAATACCAGAAAACATCCCTCTCCTACAGTGCCTAACGGGCGCAGATCCCACCAGACCACTCCCCCGCCTCCAGGTTCTACCGCCCAGCCTTCCGGTCCGGCGGAGTCTCCCTAGTGTCTGTCCAGTCTGAAGACGAGGCTACGTGCTAGGCACAAGAGCTCCCTTCCTAGTGATCAGAATTGGATTAGAAACAGGAAAACTGCAAGAAAAAAGGGCCCGCTCACAGCTCCGAAGACTAGGAGCACAGAGCCGCAACCACGCGCCAGCTCCTATCTCTCAGCTGGCCGCTCCGCGGCAGAACCGGTAATTCTACCGCCACGCCGGGCCCCGCCCCGGGCCCGCGACGATTCCGGGGCGTTCCTGCCGCAGGCGGCGCCTACCTCACCTCACCGCCGCTTGGCTCTCTTCTTCCCGAGCGAGGCCGCGGCCGCCCCGCGACACCGAAGCCATAGCTTTCAGGCCGCGCGGCCCTGCGACATCTAGAGCGGCCCTGTCTGCTGGCTCTACCCCCGCAGGCTCTGGCACGCCCTCTCTCCAGTCCCGGGCCCTTACCTAGGCGGCGAAGCCTCCACGGCCCACTACTCCTTCTCCTCAGCCTCCGCCACCGACCGAGGGCCGCGGACACCGGAACTTCCTCCGCGCTGGGCCACTGCTTCCACAAAGGCGCCGCGCCGCGCCGCAGCCTTCAGCGCTGAGCCCGCCGGGAGATGAAGTACAGGGGCTGGTCCCGCCGACTCTACTCCCGCGGTGCTCCGCGCGCAGGAGGCTTGCCTTCTGGGGAGGGGCATGGGAGCACGCTGCTCATCGCCACCCAATAAGAAGGTGCGCTTACCCGTGCCGCTTCGCGAGACCCGCTGGGGATTTTGGTTTGGTCTCTTATCTGCAGCACCTGGTCCTCTTGTTCCTAACTCACAGTTGATCGAGGCTTACAGTTTTTTGGTGGCTTGGGCTTCCTGAGATTTGCTCCCTGCCAGCAGCTCGAGTACGGCCTGGCCTGCCCAGCTCGAGGCCTGCTTATTGTCCGTTAGTGTGAGGGAAATGGCAAGGAAGCTTCTTTGGGACTAAGTTTAAGCCATCTCGAAAAGGGGCTGATTGCCATGCACCCACAGAAGGCCCTGGCTCCTGGCCGTCCCAGCCCAGAAGGGACCTGAAACCTGACAAAAGGTGCAAAAGAAAAACTTAGAGAATCAGTATGTCACGGAGGCTCGTCCCCTTTTCCTTTATCTCCATGCATTTGCCCATAATCTATTTTTTTTCTTTGTTTTTAGAGATGAGGTCTCACTGTGTTGCCCAGGATGATCTTGAACCCCTGAACTCAAGCGAATCCCCCCCACCACCAGCTCTTTTTCCTTCTGATGAGTTTCCAAATTAGGTATTTCCAGCTCAAGAATAGCTGACGGGATGTTGCGGTGGCTCACGCCTGTAATCCCAGAACTTTGGGAGACCAAGGCGGGTGGACCACCCGAGGTCAGGAGTTCAAGACCAATCTGACCAACGTGGTGAAACCCCATCTCTACTAAAAATACAAAAATTAGCCGGGCATGGTGGCAGGTGCCTGTAATCCCAGCTGCTCGGGTGGCTGAGGAGAATCCCTTGAACCTGGGAGGTGGAGGTTGCAGTGCAGCTAGCTGAGATTGAGCCACTGCACTCCAGCCTGGGGGATGGAGCAATACTGTCTCAGAAACAAACAAAACAAACCTCATGTGTGTTCAATGTTCCATCCATAAAGGAAAAGCTACCTTGCTTGCACAGGTGTTGCTAGCTCTTGGGCAAAATACCTGGCCAAGAGTGACTTGTGCGAGGTTACAGAGGAGCTTGAAGGAAAGTACAAGTCAGCAATCTAGCAAAAAATTAGGCAACACAGCTTTCAGTATGCAGCTTGTTTCCAGCATCTTCAAGCTAATGTTCTTCTAACTGCCAGCTTCAAATTCTCAGGTGTATTGTCTTTTTATTATTATTATTTAAATAAAACGGGGTTTCACCATGTTGGTCAGGCTGGTCTTGAACTCCCGACCTCAGGTGATCTGCTGCCTTAGCCTCCAAAGTGCTTAGGTTACAGGTGTGAGCCACCACACCTGGCCAAGCATCGGGCACCTCAGGTGTATTGTCTACATTGTTGAAAGACTTGCTGGTCTTGGCCACTTGATGTTCCTTCCTGTCAGTGGGCCCTTAGGGAAGGTAACCTGATTTTATAGCCTAAATTCAATATCGTGGAATCAAAAAAGTCTGCTGTAAGAAAAGCCCATTAAGCATTGAAAAATAAAGCAGGCTTAGGCCAAGTGCAGTGGCTCACTCCTGTAATCAGCACTTCGGGAGGCCGAGGCAGGCGGATCATGAAGTCAGGAGTTCAAGACCGGCCTGGCCAACATGATGAAACCCCGTCTCTACTAAAAATACAAAAATTAGTAGGATGTGGTGGCACATGCCTATAATTCCAGCTACTCAGGAGGCTGAGTCAGGAGAATTGCTTGAACCCAGGAGGCGAAGGTTGCAGTCAGCCAAGATCGTGCCACTGCACTCCAGCCTGGGCAACGGTGCGAGACTCTGTCTTGAAATAAATAAATAAATAAATAACAGACCAGGCGCAGTGGCTCACGCCTATAATCCCAGCACTTTGGGAGGCCGAGGCGGGTGGATCACGAGGTCAAGAGATCGAGACCATCCTGGTCAATGAGGTGAAACCCCGTCTCTACTAAAAATACAAAAATTAGCTGGGCATGGTGGCACGTGCCTGTAATCCCAGGTACTCGGGAGGGTGAGGCAGGAGAATTGCTTGAACCCAGAAGGCAGAGGTTGCAGTGAGCCGAGATCGTGCCATTGCACTCCAGTCTGGGTAACAACAGCGAAACTCTGTCTCAAAAAAAAATAATAATAATAACAAAGCAGGCTTTATCTGTAAAGAAAGGAAGTTGTTGAGTTGCATAGTCTTTAAAGTTACCTTCCCACTTTTTAGGCATATTCTTGGGAAGTTATTCCTTCATTCAAGAACTATATGAAGGGCCAGGTGCAATGGCTCACAACTGTAAGCCCAGCACTTTGAGAGACAGAGGCCCAAGGATTGCTTGAGCCCAGGAGTTTAAGACCAGCCTAGGCAATATGGCAAAACCCCATCTCTACAAAAAAATACAAAAATTAGATGGGTGTGGTGGCATGCCCCTATAGTCTCAGCTACTTGGGAGACTGAAGTGAGAAGATTGCTTGAGCTCAGAAGGTTGAGGCTACAGTGAGCCATGATTGCACCACTGCACTCCAGCCTGGGTTACAGAACAAGACGTTGTCCCCACCAACAACAAAATGAAGGTTGCAGTGCAGTGGCACAATCATAGCTCACTACAGCTTCAAACTCCTGGATTCAAACAATGTGGCTGGATTATTGCAGCAACCTCCCAACCAGCTGTCCTGCTTCTCCTCTTTCCCACTTTCAGTCTGTTTTCCACACAGTAACCAGAGGAATCCTGTTAACATGGAAGTCAGGTTATGATGTCTCTGTTCAGGGCCCATTAACAATTTTCTGTCTCCCTCCTTGCAGAAACCAAATTCATTTCAGCAGCCTACAAGGTGCAGGAGGAGCCACAATCATGACACTTTACTCCAGCCTAAGCAACAGAGCAAGATCCCATCTGAAGAAAAAAAAGAGAAATCCAACCACAGAATGGTGCTTGCAGCAGTGTGGCCACAGTAGAAACAGGAGACAGACATATTGGACTGGAATAAAGGAAAGGGAAGAATATGGGAGGAACAGTTTTGGTAGGAAGAGCAGGAACTCAGTTTTGGGTAGGTTAAGTTTTCTGATAACTAGTAGACAGGTGAGATGTGGAGCTGGAAGTTGGTTACATCAGTCTGGAGTTCAGAATAAAGATCAGACTAGATATACAAATCTGGGAGGTATCAGCATGTTGCTAATATCTAAAGCCATAGGCCTGGATGAGATAACTAAGGGAGTAAGGGAAGACAGGAAAGCAAAGTTTAAGCCTTGAGCACCAAGGCTACACCAGTGCTAACAGGTTTCAGGAAAGAGGAGAAACAGAACTATGGATATTTTAGCCAGGTGTGGTGGCTCATGTCTGTAATCCCAGCACTTTGGAAGGCCAAGCTGGGTGATCACCCGAGTTCAGGAGTTCAAGACCAGCGTGGCCAACATGGTGAAACCTAGTCTCTAGAAAAATGCAAAAATTAGCCAGGTGTGGTGGTGGGTGCCTGTAATCTCAGCTACTCCGGAGGCTGAGGCAGGAGAATTGCTTGAACCTGGAAGGTGGAGTTTGCAGCGAGCCGAGATCACGCCACTGCACTCCAGTATGGGCAACAGAGTGAGACTCTGTTTCCAAAAAAAAAGAACTATGGGTATTTTGACTTTGCTTCTCAAACTAGGCCTTTATTGGTGGATCTTTCACTTATTAGATAATACTTTATCCTCTAAAGAGGTGTACGATATTAAGAAACTAATTATTACTGGTTAAGGCCCAATCTCCTTGGGTAATAATAATTGTTACACTTTATCACACTATGTGCCTGGCATGGTGCTGGCACTTCATCTATGATTTCATTTAATCCTCATAACTATATATTATCCCTTTATTTTTCATTATTTTTATTTATTTATTTATTTATTTATTTTGAGATAGAGTTTTGCTGTTGTTACCCAGGCTGGAGTGCAATGGCATGATCTCGGCTCACGGCAACCTCCGCCTTCTGGGTTAAAGCAATTCTCCTCCCTCAGCCTCCCGAGTAGCTGGGACTACAGGCACGCACCACCATGCCCAGCTAATTTTTGTATTTTTAGTAGAGACGGGGTTTCACCTCATTGACCAGGATGGTCTCAATCTCTTGACCTCGTGATCCACCCGCCTCAGCCTCCCCGAGTGCTGGGATCATAGGTGTGAGCCACCACGCCCGGCCTATTTTTATTTTTTAAAGATGGAGTCTCACTCTGTCTCCAGGCTGGGGTGCAGTGGCACAATCTTGGCTCACTGCAACCTCCGCCTCCCAGATTCAAGTGATTCTTCTGCCTCAGCTTCCCTAGTAGGTGAGACTACAGGCATGCACCCCATGCACAGCTAACTTTTGTATTTTTAGTAGAGATGGGGTTTCACCATGTTGGCCAAGATGCTCTTGATCTCTTGACCTTGTGATCCACTCGCCTCAGCCTTCCAAAGTGCTCGTATTACAGGCATGAGCCGCCACACCCAGCCAATATTATCCCCTTTTATAGTTAAGGAAACCAGAGCCCAGAAAGGTTAAATAACTTGCCACAGCTGAAAAGTAGAAGCTGAAGGCATTCCAACTGAGGTCAGTCCTACCAACAAGGCTCATGCTCCTGACTCCTTTTCATTAAGGTGATAATTGAGGATTTTTCTTAATGTGTTTATTGAAGATTTTCAGAGGAAGCATCTGGATTTTTTTTTCCTTATGTACATGGGCTTATAGCACTTGTAAGGTTCTTTTTCACTGGCTAAGACTGAGAAGTAAAAGCTATGTAGAAGAGCTGTCCCAGAACAGCACCTTCACCTGGAATGGTAGTAAAGTCCAATGAGGTAGATGCGTTCACTTTCAGCAACTGAATCTTCACAGGAGAAAATGAGGTAAAGAGAAAACTAGGCTAGGCATGGTGGCTCACACCTGTAATCCCAGCTGTTTGGGAGACTGAGGCAGCTGTCACCTGAGGTCAGGAGTTTGAGACCAGCCTGGGCAACATGGTGAAATCCCATTTCTACTAAAAATACAAAAATTAGTCAGGTGTGGTTATCAGCTACTAGGGAGGCTGAGGCAGGAGAATTGTATGAACCCAGGAGGCAGAGGTTACAGTCAGCCAGGATTGTGCCATTGCATTCCAGCCTGGGCAACAAGAGTGAAACTCGATCTCAAAAAAAAAAAAGGCTGGGCACAGTGGCTTATGCCTGTAATCCCAGCACTTTGGGAGGCCAAGGCGGGTGGATCACCTGAGGTCGGGAGTTTGAGACCAGCCTGACCAACATGGAGAAATCCTGTCTCTACTAAAAATACAAAATTAACCAAGCATGGTGGCATGCACCTGTAATCCCAGCTACTCTGGAGGCTGAGGCAGGAGAATCACTTGAACCCAGGAAGTGGAGTATGCGGTGAGCCAAGATTTCACCATTGCACTCCAGCCTTGGCAACAAGAACGAAACTCAGTCTCAAAAAAAAAAAAGAGAGAGAGAGATTGTCCTGTCTATTGTTTCCTGTTGCTTTGGTCTCATGTGGGGCTATGGGTCTTCAGCATCCAATGTAGGGACTTGGGTATGGTGACTTGTGCCTATAGTCCCAACTACTCATGAGGCCAAGATGGAAGAACTGCTTGAGTCCAGGAGTTTTAGTCCAGCCTGTGCAACATAGCGAAAACCCATCTCTAAAATAAAATAAAATAAAACATTAAAAGCAGGGACTTGATCAAATGTGAGAATTTACAAGGGGCCATGCGTGGTGGCTCATGCCTGTAATCCTAGCACTTTGGGAGGCTGAGGCAGGTGAATCACCTGAGGTCAGGAGTTCAAGACCAGCCTGATCTACATGGTGAAAGACCGTCTCTAAATTAATCAGGCGTGGTGATGCATGCCTATAATCCAGCTACTTGGGAGGCTGAGGCAGAAGAATGGCTTGAACCCGGGAGGCAGAGGTTGCAGTGAGCTGAGATTGTACTCCAGCCTCTGGGCAACAAGAGCAAAACTGCATCTCAAAACAAAAACAAAAACAAAAAACAAGGAACCAGGAGAGAAGAGACAGAAAACCAGGGAAGATTCAGATGATACAAGACCATAGGTGAAATTCTCTAGTAGAGCAGGAGAACTGGTTGCCTTACCAAGTGATAAAGGCAGGAAGAAAAACCTCTTCAAACTTTCCAAGAAAGAACTGGCTATTTTTATTAGCTCAGAATACTTCACATTAGATATTTTGTATTTGTATAAGGGGGAAACTGTTGAAGATGGTGAAAGAGTCATTAAAAGATTTGCCTGCAGTCCTACAAGCAAGATAGCAACAAGGCTGAGAAGAGGTCCTAGCCTCAGAATATACTTTATTTTTTGTTCGTTGGGTTTGTTTGTTTGTTCATTGAGTCAGGGTCTTAACGCTCATCCAGGTTGTAGTGCAGTGGCTCACTGCAGCCTCGACCTCCTGGACCTAAGTGATCCTCCCCATTCAGTTTCCTGAGTAGCTGGGATCACAGGTGTGTGCCACCACACTGGGCCAATTTTTAAATTTTTTGTAGAAATGGCATCTCCTTATGTTGCCTAGGCTGGTCTGGAATTCCTGGGCTCAAGAGATCCTCCTGCCTTGGCATCCCAAAGTGTTGGGATTACAGGTGTGAGCCATTGTGCCTAGATTTTTTTTTTTTTTTTTTTTTGAGAAGGAGTCTTGCTCTATTGCCCAAGCTGGAGTGCACTGGTGCAATCTCCGTTCATGGTAACCTCCGCCTCCCAGGTTCAAGTGATTCTCCTGCCTCACCCTCCCAAATAGCTAGGACTACATGCAGGTGCCACCATGCTCAGCTAATTTTTGTATTTTTAGTAGATACGGGGTTTCATCGTGTTGGCCAGGATGGTCCCGATCTCTTGACCTCATTATCCACCCAGCTAGGCCTCCCAACTATTGGGATTACAGGCGTGAGCCACTGCACCCAGCCTTTAAAAAAAAATTTATTATTTAAATTTATTTAAAAATTTTTTTAAAATTTATTATTATTGAGACAGAGTCTCAATATGTTGCCCAGGCTGGCCAGGAACTACTAGCTCAAGCCATCCTCCCACATCAGTCTCCTGAGTAACTGAGGCTACACACCCAGCAAGGATTTACTTTAGCTACCTTGCAGCACCTCAGGTTCTTCACTAAAGAAATCACTAAAAGAAAGATCACTAAAGAAGATTTCACTAAAGAAATCTTCACTAAAGGTAGAAAAGAGAAGAAATATGGGGAAGAATAAGAAGCCTAATTGTTAAATTTGTTCCAGTCCCAGTTAGTCTTCATTACTGCTGTTGTGGAGATAACATGCTAGGTCTCTGAAAATCACAAGCCCAGACAAAACGAAAAGCTGAGGCTTTGAGAAGCTCCGAACCTGGAGAGGGAAGGGAGGTGCATGTTGTTTGTGGCAAAGTCCAAGTTTCAAAGCAGGATTAGAGCCATTGTAGGATTGACATTTGTTATTAGTTCAATTTGTGTATTTTTAATAGAGACGGGGTTTCACCATGTTGGCCAGGATGGTCTCGATCTCTTGACCTCGTGATCCACCCGCCTCAGCCTCCCAAAGTGCTGGGATTACAGGCGTGAGCCACCACATTGGCCCTAATTTTGCTTTTTAAAACCATCTCTAAATATAAGGGCCATTTGGGAAAGCCTGTTCTTGTCTGTTTTCCTGTTGGTTTTATTGCTTTGCGTCTAGGAAATTATAAACAATGATTCTTTGCCCCGGCAAATCACCTGGGGAGCTTTTAAAACAATAGTGATGCCTGGTTTCCCGACACTCCACCCTACTCCAAATTCAATTAAATCAAAATCTCTAGGGCTGGTGTCCAGGGATTAGTTTTCGTTGTTTTTGAGACAGGGTCTTGCTCTATGCTCAGGCTGGAGTGCAGGGGCATGATCACAGCTGATCACAGCTCACCACAGCCCCAACCTTCTGGGCTCCCACCTCAGTCTCCTACCTCAGCCCCCTGAGTAGCTGGGACTTACAGGTGCGCGCCATCACGCCTGGCTGGTTTTTGTATTTTTAGTGGAGATGGGGTTTCACCATGTTGGTCGAGCTGGTCTCAAACTCAAGTGATCCGCCCACCTCGGCCTCCCAGCTGTAGGGATTACAGGCATGAGCCACCGCGCCCGGCCCAGTTTTTTTTTTTTTTTTTTTTTTTTTTTGAGACGGAGTTTCACTCTTGTTTACCCAGCCTGGAGTGCAATGGCGCTATCTCAGCTCACCGATCACCGATCTCAGCTCACCGTAACCTCCGCCTCCTGGGTTCAGGCAATTCTCCTGCCTCAGCCTCCTGAGTAGCTGGGCTTACAGGCACGCGCCACTATGCCCAGCTAATTTTTTTTGTATTTTTAGTAGAGACGGGGTTTCACCATGTTGACCAGGATGGTCTCGATCTCTTGACCTCGTGATCCACCCGCCTCGGCCTCCCAAAGTGCTGGGATTACAGGCATGAGCCACCGCGCCCGGCCCTTGTTTTTTTTTTTTTTTTTAAAGCTCCCCAGGTTATTCTATGTGCCGTCAGAGTTGAGAATACTGATACATTAAAATGTGGCCACAAATGTTTTTAGAAACAATTTGTGCAACTTTTGCGCATGCCCACATCCTTTACAGCCTGTGTGGCTGGGTCCATTAATGACATTTATCCGGGCCCACTAATGACATTTTTCCAGACCCACAAACTTGCACTGACCTTCCACAATCAGTGTGGGAAACAACCCTAAGGTCCCTTTCTCTCCCTTGAAATGAACTGCTAGCTGGCTCGGACTGAGAGGCCGAGAGTCCAGGTCTGCGGTCTGCGTGGAGCTCTAGGCTCCGAGAAGGCATCCAGGTCCTTAGAAGGCGGCGCCGGGTGAGGCAATACCGGACCCGGGTCAGGACCTGCCCGCTGCTCTGCCAGGATGAGGAAGCCAGAACCAGTCCCGCGGCGCCGAAGGCGGCCGAGTGCTACGGACTACATTTCCCACAATGCACCCCGGGGGCGGGCGGGGTCGAGCCGAGCGGCTGGAGCTGGGCCTTAGCCGCGAGAGTCCGGCGAAAGCTGTCTTCCTGCACCGGCGGCCGGGTGAGGGCGGTGGGAGGGCGCGGTGCCGGCGCTGTGGCCATGTCTGTGTACGCAGGGGGCCGGGGCCGGGGCCCCGCGAAGCTGTGCCCTCAGGCCGGACCCAGGCAGACAACCTTATCCCCCCAGGGGTCCGGCAGAGGGCAGTGACCAGCCCCTTCTGTGCGTCCTGGGCCCCTCTGAGAAACAGGTGAGTTGACTGCCAGCCCACGTGGCCTGTAGGCACCTAGAGACTGGAGAGCTGTCATCTTTGGAGGGAGGGGCTTGAAGACAGGAGCCTTCAGCCATCAACGCTATCGTTTGCAATGGAAAGACTGTGTATCCCTGGGGTCCCTTAGCCGGCTGGCCCCCAGCTGGGGAATACAAAAGGCGAGATCTAGAACCCATCCTTTGGCTGGGAGGGCGAGGTCCGATAGGGGGCAGTAGCCAGGTAGGACTCTTCTCCCGCACCCCCCCCAACAAACCCACACGCATTCGGCTCGTAGAGCCTTCTCAAAAAGCCACAGAGGTGACTGGCATGAGCGGGGCAGCACCTGGAAGGGGCTTGGGACTTCGATTTTTTTTTTTTTTTTTGACGGAGTTTCACACTCTTGTTCCCCAGGCTGGAGTGCAATGGCGTGATCTCATCTCACTGCAACCTCTGACTCCCAAGTTCAAGCAATTCTCCTACCTCCGCCTCCTAAGTAGTAGCTGGGATTTCAGGCATGCATCACCAAGCCCAGCTAAGTTTTTGTATTTTTTTTAGTAGAGGCAGGGTTTCATCATGTTGGCCAGGCTGGTCTCCAACTCCTGACCTTAGGTGATCCGCCCACCTCAGCCTCCCAAATTGCTGGGATTACAGGCGTGAGCCACCGTGCCCAGCTGGACTTTGCTTTCAAGAGTGTCCTGGTGCAGATAACTGGGCTGTCCCTTGAACTGGGTTAGCCACCCTTTCTGGGTGCAAGTTTGCAGAGGAAGAGTGAGCAGCCTTTGTCAGGGAGGGGAGTGACCCCCAGAAGTGACAAGACAAGGACCAGACTATGATCTCAGCATGGAGTAAGCATCCTGCTGAAGCAGCCATAGCACAGCCTCACCTGGGCCTTGTCTGCCACACATCCTGGATCCTGGCACCTCCTTCCCAGACAGACTGCTCCAAAGGATTAAGGTGAAATGAAGTGCTATCCAAGCATGAAGAGGGAGCAGAAGTAGTAGAGAGCCAGTAGGGAGGGGCTTGTGAAGGCCTTCTCTATTCCAGGGCTGCCTGAGAAAGAGAGGCATGCTACAAGGGCTGATTGAGCCAACCTGTTTGGTGACATTGCTCACAGGCATAGCAGGGCACTTCTAGGAAAAACAAGGCCTGGAGCTTCTATACAGGTCTTCTGAAAAGGGTCCTATAGGGGCATCTGGGGCTGGTTCTAAGAGACCTCCTTTGCCTAACTTCTTCAATTCTAGCTTCCCAGGAGCTTCAGTTGCACAGCTCTGGCACCTATGGGGGCTAGGGTGGATTTTGCTGTGATTCACTCAGCCTCCCTGTCTGAGTTTCCAGAGTAAACATTCAGAGAGCTTTTTGCTTCATCAGGCCTCCGGCTGAACCCCAGACTGACCTAGCAGATGCTGAGATACTGTATGATCTCAGGTGGCAGGAGAACTGTTGTGAAGGAAGCATCCACTAGCCCTGGCCAGCTGATCCTGCCTGTACTGAACCTTTACCCATGCAGGTACCATGCTGGGTACCACTCAGCCACACTGGGCTTAGTCAGCTAAAGCCCACAGGGGATCAGTGGAGAGTGGGCCCTGAGGATGGAATAAGTAAGCTATTATAGACCTTGTTTGGGTCTTTGAACCAAAAGTGCAAGGTCACAGAGCAGTGGCATGTGGCAGACCAAGGAGTTTGTTTTGTTTTTGAGATGGAATTTCCACTCGCCAGGCTGGAGTGCAATGGCAAGATAGCAGCTCACTGCAACCTCCACCCCGCCCCCCAGGTTCAATGGATTCTCCTGCCTTAGCCTCCTGAGTAGCTGGGATTATAGGCGCCTGCCACCACGCCCAACTAATTAAGGAGTTTAATTTAGGAAAGATTTCCAATAGCAGCAGAGAGCCAGTTGTCTATTCTTGCAACTCCAGAGCCAGTGAACAACCAGTTAGCCTGGAGGAACTCCCAGCCCTATAGGACACTTAACCTGGAGGACTCCCAGCTATCTATAAGGCAGCTCTTTGACCTGACTCCCAGCTGTCTATAAGACACCCCTAGCCTGAAGGTGAGTCGCTTGAGGCTAGGGCCCACCTGGCTTTACAAGGTCAGAAGCATATTTGCCCATGCCATTGCAGGCTGAGCAAAATCTCAGAGGCCTGATTTACATGGCACAGACCACTGGATTCATGTGGTCTTATAAGTGCAGTCACACATGGTCTGAATGCTAAGTAAGAATAACCAGGATGTGCTAATGGGAGCAGCTGAGTATGTAACCAAATTACATGGATTATTTCATTTAATCTTCCCACAACCCAAGGAATCAGTACTATCATCCCATTTTATAAATGAGAAAACTGGCCAGGCATGGTGGCTCACACCTGTAATCCTAGCAGTTTGGGAGGCCAAGGTGGGCAGATCACAAGGTAAAGAGATCCAGATCAAGATTGGCTAACACCCTTTTCGGCCTTAGCCCACCTGCACCCAGGTGATTTAAAAAAAAAAAAAAAAGATCGAGATCATCCTGGCTGACATGGTGAAACCCCATCTCTACTAAAAATACAAAAATTAGCTGGGCCTTGTGGCACGCGCCTGTAGTCCCAGCTACTCTGGAGGCTGAGGCTGGAGAATCACTTGAACCCAGGAGGCAGAGGTTGCAGTGAGCTGGATCCCTGAACTCCAGCCTGGCGACAGAGTGAGACTTTGTCTCAAAAAAATAAAATAAAATAAAAAAATAAATGAGGAAACTGAGACCAGGCCAGCTTAATCCAGGTCCCTCTAACTTCGGAGCCATTGTTCCTGAACATCTGACTACTACCAATGACAAGTCTTGGCAAGGGTTTCCAGAGGCCACATCACAGGTGTGACAGAGCTGGGTATTCTCCAGAGATCTTTCAGTTTTCCCTTCCATTTTTCTTTTCTTTCTTTTTTTTTTTTTTTTTTTTTGAGACTGAGTCTCACTTTGTCGCCAGGCTGGAGTGCAGTGATACGGGTCAAGAATTTGGGAGCAGCTTACCTGGATGAGTCAAGCTCAGGGTCTCTTATTAGGTTGCAATCATCTGAAGGTTTGACTGGGCCTAGATGATTTGCTTTCAAGATGACTCACTCATGACTAGCAACTTGGTACTGGCTGTTCATAGGAGGTCTCAGTTCCTTGCTATGAAGTTCTCTCCGTAGAGCCATTTACGTGTCCTCACAACATGGCTGATGGCTTTCCCTAGAGGGAGTGATCCAAGAGAATCACCCAAGGCAAAAGCCACAGGGTCACTTATGACCTAGCCTTAGGAGTCACTTGTTGTTTTTTTGGGTTTGTTTGTTTGTTTCTTTTTTTGAGACATGGTCTTGCTCTGGCACCCAAGCTGGAGTGCAGTGGTGTGATCTCTGCTCACTGCAACCTCCGCTTCCATGGTTCAAATGATTCTCATCCCTCAGCCTCCTGAACAGCTAGAATTACAGGCACCCACCCCAACTCCTGGCTAATTTTTGTATTTTTAGAAGAGACTGGGTTTTACCATGTTGTCCAGGCTGGTCTCAAACTCTGGACCTCAAGTGATCTGTCCACCTCAGCTTCCCAAAGTGCTGGGATTACAGGCGTGAGCCACTGTGCCCAGCCACACATTGTTATTTACACAGTATCCTATTGGTTGTATAGGTCAGCCCTGCTCGGTGTGGGAAGGGAGTATGCAAAGGCATGCACAGGGGGTGGGGAGTTGGGGAGGGATAATATGGGGAGAAATGCCAGATATAGGTGATGGGGAGGAAGGCAGCAAACCACATTGCCATGTATGTACCTATGCAACAATCTTGCATGTTCTTCACGTGTAACCCAAAACTTAAAATGCAATAAAAATATATATGTGTATATATATATATATATATTTTTTTTTTTTGAAAGGCATACATAGCAGGAGTTGAGGATAGATAGAGACCATCTTGAAGGCTGACTACCACAGATGGAGTGCAGTGGCATGATCTCTGCTCACTGCAACCTCCGCCTCACAGATTCAAACAATTCTTTTGCCTCAGCCTTCTGAGTAGCTGGGATTACAGGCATGCACCACCACAGCTGGCTAATTTTGCATTTTTAGTAGAGACAGGGTTTCACCATGTTGGCCAGGCTGGTCTTGATCCTCTGACCTCAGGTGATCCACCTACCTCGGCCTCCCAAAGTACTGGGATTACAGGCATGAGCCGCTGTGCCTGGCCATGAAATTATCTTTCACTGAGTTGGTGAAAACTCTGAGAGAAGTGACTTTTTTTTTTTTAGAGATGGGGTCTTTTTCTGTCACCCAGTCTGGAATGTAGTGACTACTTCTTTCTTTCTTTTTTTTTTTGAGATGGAGTCTTGCTCTATTGCCCAGGCTGGAGTACAGTAGTATGATGTTGGCTCACAACCTCTCCTTCCTGGGTTCAAGCAATTCTCCTGCCCCAGCCTCCTGAGTAGCTGGGATTACAGGAATGTGCCACCACACCCAGCAAATTTTTTGTATTTTTAGTAGAGATGCAGTTTCACCATATTGGCCAGGTTGGTCTTGAACTTATGACCTTATGATCCGCCTGCCTCAGCCTCCCAAAGTGCTCAGAATACAGGTGTGAGCCACTGTGCATGGCCCTTTCTTTTTCTTCTTTTTAAAGACAGGGTCTCACTCTGTTGCCCAGGCTGGAATGCAGTGGCATAATCTTGGCTCATTGCAACCTCTGTCTCCCAGGTTCCAGTGATCCTCCCACCTTAGCTTCCTGAGTAACTGGGACCACAGACGTGGACCACTCTCCTGGCTAATTTTTGTAGAGACAGGGTTTGCCATATTGCCCAGGTTGGTCTTGAACTCCTAGGCTCAAGAAATCTAGAAATCTGCCTGCTTTGGCCTCCCAAAGTGCTGGGATTACAGGTGTGAGCCACCATATCCAGCCAGGAACAACTTTTTAAGGATATCTTTTTTTTTTTTTTTTTCTGAGACAGGGTCTCGATCTGTCGCCCAGGCTAGAGTGCAGTGGCACGATCTCAACTCACTGCAACATCCACCTCCCAGGTTCAAGCAATTCTCCTGCCTCAGCTTCCCGTAGCTGGGATTACAGGCGCCCGCCACTGCACCTGGCTAATTTTTGTATTTTTAGTAGAGACAGGCTAGGCAGGTCTCAAACTCCTGACCTGGTGATCCACCTGCCCCGGCCTCCCAAAGTGCTTGGATAACAGGCATGAGCCACCATGCCTGGCCAGGAGATGACCTTTTTAAGGAGTTCAGTTTTGGGCATACAGCCTTGAGATAACATGAAGTAGATAGTTAAATGTGTGTCCCTCTGTAAATCAGAAGAGAGATTGGGGCTGGAAATTTTTAAAAAATGAATTATTAATGTGTAGAAGGAATTTAAAACTATGAGACAAAATGAGATCACCAAGGGATTGAGGGAAGACATAGAAGATGTCGAAGGACTGAATTCTGTGCCCCTTTACAGTAAGAACTGCAAAAAGGACTCAGAAGGAGTAGTCCATGAGGTCAGAAGAGAACCAAGAAAGGAGTGGTGTGCCATAAAAGAGGAGAAAATACTTCAAGAGAAAGGAAATAACAAAATCATCTATTATTTATGGGTGAAGTGAGATGATCCTGGAGGTCATTAGTGACCTTGATGGGAGCAGTGATGGTGGTGTAATGGAGGTAAGATTCTGTTTGGAACTGGTTTGGAGAAAATGGGGAAAATGGAGAGGCTGTGGCAGAGACAATTACTGCTTTCCAAATATCCATGAGCCCCATGCATTTCCCAGTCCCTCTGGCCACATCACTGGTTCTAGCCAATCTGAGCTACAAAGTATTTTTATTTATTTTTTTTATTTTAAAGTATTTAAGAGCTAGTACATGATCCTCCAGCTCTGTCTTCCCCTACGAGGTGATGTGGAAGTCATGTGTTCCGAATAGCTACTATAGGATGCTAGTGGCTTGGATTCCTGAATCACTGCTTGGAAGGGAGCTAGTCTGAAT